TCTCCAATTCTACCACATGGGGGGTGCACAGAATTGCTAATATTTATTCACATTAGTGACAGTCAAATTCTGTGGGAAACAGTGAAAATCCCTCAGCCCCATAATGGCCTTTACCATCTGCTCTCGTCCTCTCCTTGGATTCACCAAGTGCCCTGCTCCAGGATGCCCCTGCACACACTGCCCCAGCACCATCGGCCCCAGAGGACCGACAGCCCCGAGACAGAAACGCTCTGGAGCCTGGCTGCCTTGCAGAATGGAGACTCAGCCAGCATTGACTGAGATGAGCAATTTCTTAGACAGAAGGCAAGAATTTGGTAGGACCAGCTGGGCATGGTGCGCTCAAGTATAATCCCAGCACTCGGAGGGTGAGGCAGGAAGATCGCTGTGAGTTCAAGGCCAGCCTGGGCTACCTAGTGAGTTCAAGGTCAGCCTGAACTGCATAGTGACACACACAGAAAAAGAATTTAACAAGACCATACTGTGCTGTTAAGACACACACACACACACACACACACACACACACACGAGCATGATCTTTTTCTCTGTTGTCTGTTTTCAAATAATGCCTACTTACATAAAAGGGATTCTAAGTGTTATTCATTGGTAAACAGCAAAGAACCTGAGCCGCTACAAAACCACACTACTCACCTGGATGTCAGGCATGTTCTGACCTCCCCCTACACTAAATACGCCAGCACTTACAGCTTCAGCTTTTCCTTACGTAAAAGAAAACAATGAAGGTATCTCTTCCTGTGATGCACTTAACAAGTTATTCTTAACCAGTAATGTGCAATTAATTCAGATGCTGGCTATGCATTTTAAGATTTGATGTTACATTTTCTTGGGACTATAATCTCATGTACAACGTAAGAAGCACTTATCACTTAAAAGTTATTCTTGCCAGCCAAGGTGGTGCACGCCTATAATCCCAGCAATCGGCAGGCTGAGGCAGGAGGATTGTTGCAAGTTCAAGACCAGCCTAGGCTACAAAGTGAGCTCAAGCCTAGCCTGAACTAAATAGTGGGACCCTATCTTAAAAAGACACACACATTCTTTAAGTTCAGCATGTAGATATTATATCCTGAAATGCACTCTTCTGAGTACTTTGAATTTTAAAAAGACTGTGTATGAAATACTACTTCAAATTAAAATCAAATAAAATTCTGCAATGTGAGTTATTAAAGCACAAGATTATTAAGTACAAGCTGACCAGTCTTACTTGAAATGTAAGACATCACATACAGTGGAGCCAGGCACGATGGTGCACACTTGTAATGCCAGCACTTGGGAGGCTGAGGCAGGAGGATCACTGCCATTCAAGGCCAGGTGGAGCTACATAGTGAGTCCCTATCTCAAAAACAGTATCACGTAAGAGCTATCCATAATACTTGATATCAACAGTTATCCATAATAGCTATCCATAATACTTGATAATGATTAACAACCACATATGACACGGGCTTGTGTATTTACTACATTATACCTTTCATTGTTATTTTTAGAGTATGTGCCTATTTATAAAAAACATTTACCATAAAATAGTATACTGTGTTATCCTGGCAGGCTCACGGATATCATGTTTACTGTGTGTCTCCATTGCATTATCTTCTTCTACGCTTGCTTTAATTTCATGTTGTTTTATTCACCATGGCCCTAGGACCAATAGGTTGTACCATTTGTATGTATACTTTAGCCTAAGTGTAGAGTGGGTTATATTACCTCGGTTTATAGAAGTATACTCAGGTGTGTCCGACCTGCAGCCTCCAGGCTGCTTGTCTTCTTTTTTTTTTTTTATGGTGTAATAGCTTATACTATAAAAAACAGAGGAAGTATTGTTGCTTATATACATTAACCATATGTGTTTTGTACATGGTCCAAGACAGTTCTTCTTCCCTCGGTGTAGGCCGACAGGCCAGGTTGGGTGTGCCTGCAACGTGTTCCCACAGCAATGGAATCTCCCCCACAATGACGCATTTCTCTGAACTTATCCCTGCTCTTAGGTGATGCGTGAGTATATATCACTGCCTTCATTATTTATCCTATAACTTCAAGACTACGTTCATTGAGACTAGTGTACTCAGTCAGCTTGGTATAAATGGTAAGTATTCTGTAGAAAATAACTAAAACATTGACCGAATAAATGAATACATGCATCCTTCAAGCTGAAGGGAGTACTTCAGTTTTAATATTTTGGTATATGGTGATTTTAGGTATGTTCATCATATCTACTTGCTCTGTGATTTTGTCAGCCTTTCACAGAAAACGCGTCTATCAGCCTCCATCCTTCTGAGCAGGAGAAACACTAACACCTTTCTCCACTTCTTGTTAAGTAGATCATTTCCTGTGATTAGCTACGCTGAACTTTCACATCAGCACGCTGATCTTATCACAGCAAATATCCTCTGTTTGCAGCAAGTACAATAAAATGTCTTTCTTTCCTCACTTATTTCTTGTAACATTAGCATTCATCTCAAATTTTAATTCATTTCAACATCATAGAGAAATAATAACACCATTAATTCAACATTTACTGACTACATACGGGTGATATGTTCCACATGGTTCTTATTTACATGGAAAAGCTCATGAAAATGTTAACTAAGACTATACTCAGATAATCCTTGGGCCTATTAGACTGACCCACATCTAAAGCTTTGCTGAAAGGCTGTGAGGAAGAACCAGGTGCTCATCTGCTCTTGGTGGTATGGAAAAAGGGTACAAATTCCATGAAGGGAGTTTAGCAATATTTTATAGCACTGCATACACATTTACTCTTTGATCTAGCAAGTTTACTTCTAAAAAGCTATCCCAAAGATACAATAGCTAAAACACAGCAGAACATAAGCACAAAGCAGGATTCACTACAACAGTGGACTTAAATAATCTTAATGCCCATGAGAAGGAGGCTCGGTAGATCAGATCAGCGAGGACAAAGCCACTCAACGGGGCATCGCACAGCTGGAAACACATTCGTCTTTCTCTCCTTCCCTGCCTCCCTCCTTTCACCTTCCTTCCCCTTCCCTCCCTTCTGTTCTTCCTTTCTTTCTTCTTTCTGGTGCTGGGAACTGAAATCCAGAGCTTTCACAGTGAGTTACATCCCCAGCCCTTTTTCATTTTCATTTTTGAGACACGGTGCTAAACTGCCCAGGCTGGGCCCAAACTTGCAATCCTCCTGCCTTAGCCTCCCAAACTCCCAAACTGCTGGAATTATGGGCATGTGACACTACACTTGACCAGAATTAAAACAAATATATATATATATAAAATATATATTTATTATATACATATTTATAATATATATATATAGTCCCCCAAAATAAACAATAACCTAATTTTTAGATTAACTATACAAGGAAGAAACAGGGTAGATAGAACAGGGATAGAAGTTAGACTTCTTTTTTTTTTTTCAAAAAAATGCTTAAACTATATGGAGCTATACTTGATACATAAAAATTGAACCTATGTAATGCATATATTTTGGTGAATCTGGAATACCTACAGATTTCTTTGAATGTACAATGTTTTATAGATTTGAATTTAGATTTTTTTTTTTTTCTGGCTACATACCGAAACTCCTACAACCACTTAGCAATGAGCACCTTTAGCCCTCACTCAGAGGTCTTAACATGCCACTTCACATCAAAGACACCAGGGCTCAGGAAATGGCTGATTCCAGGCCTGGAACACGAATTGAAAAGCATGATTCTTTAATATCTTGAAATATCATGCAGCAAGAAAATGACCAAAGATTACTAAGATTAAACATGGGAATATTTGGCATTAATAAATAAAATAACTTGAGCTTTACACTGGGAAGACTCTATATTTCCCTTTATGGAAATATTTTGGCTAATAAATGAAGAAAAAGTGATCAATGAGTAACCGCATTTTACAACTCTTAATGAGTTAATGGCTCTGCTATTGATCTGGTACACTTTATGTACCTCCAGGGAAGTGCTACAGAATAAATGACTTGGTCTCGTCAATAAATAATTTGCAATGACAAGTGTAAAAATGAATGAGGAACTTTTAATGTACAAACATGTAATAATCGCGAAGACTGAGATAAGAAAAAGTAAGGAAAAGAACAATAATATGCCAGCACTTAAACACAAGAAAAATAGTTTTTCTTTATAATCATAGACCGTTTCTTAAAAAATACACAAGAAAGAAAGAGTTTGTTTTAGTTGCCTTTTGGGTGGCCAGAGAACAATACAGGAAAGGCATTTTTAATATAGTACCTTTGTTATCTCTGGAATCCTAAAACACGTTAACCTATATATACTTGCACAAAATCAAGGAATAAAATCAGGGCCTGCATGGCAAGTGCAAGGTCTTAAATTTGATTCCCAGAACCAAAGAAAAAAAAAAAAAAAGGAATAAAATCATAAATGAAACGATGGATCTGATTACTGTTATCTCACTGACATATTTATGAATAAAATATTGTAACAATATACTTGGAAATATTTAAGCAAAAAGCAAGGATAACAGAAAATGTTGACAACTATTAAGTATAAATTTGGGGTGCAAAAAGTTTATTATGGAAGTTTATCTACTTTTTCTGACAAAAAGTAACAGAAAAATATTAACTATAATGAAAATGAAACATTATTACATTCTATCCAGATATTCCTTAAGGAAGAACTAAGTCTGAGACTTGCTCTTTCTGCACTAACACAGACAAAGTCACAGACTATTCTCAAACAAGACTTGCAGATGTAATCCAAAGGAAAGGAGTGAATGGATACACGGGAAAGGAAGGAATGAAGACACCCTACACAGTCATCGGCCGGGGCACATAGGCACGTACTCAACACCTTTATCTCCACTAACAACTCAAACAACAATTTTAGAAATTACTTCAAGGAATGAATACAATAGCTAACTAAGTGGATGTAAGATTGTATAACCCCACACGCCTTCCTTCTGAGATACCGTACATGTTTGTTACTAAGCATTACCTTGGCACGAGCAAAGGCAAACTGATGTGCACTTACTTTTTGCTGGCCTCACAGACGTCTGTAATATTAGAGAAAAGATGGTGTCTCTCAGTTTTAGTCATTGTATCACTCAGTTCTTTAGAATTTTTAAACATTCGAATCAAGATCTCCAAGCTGAGTAAATATGAATGTTCAGACGATATGACTTCAAAGATTGCCTGGTAAGAAGAAGAAATAGATAAATTATTCCTTCTTTTAATTGAAGATCTAATAGAGCTCTCACTGTTCTGCTATAAGCAAGATGTATCTCGAGAAGTACAAAAAAGGCTAAGAATTAAGAAACGTGCAACATTAAACTACTGCTCTCTTATAAGGCACATATATCTAACGCTCAAGAAAGTGCTACTTTCTGTACTGTAAATACTGAAAAGGAAAGAATCTGGATGACATTGCATCCTGAGGTCATGCCTTTGCCACAGGGTAGAATCTATGGAAGGAAAGTGGGGCATGTCATAAAATCCCAGCGTGATGTTAATTAACCTTCAGGTCATCTCCTCCAACCCTGCTTTCAATGCATGCTGCTTCCAGGGACAGTAAGAATTTATGGTCATCACTTGGAATCCAGGGAAAATTTCTCACAAATACCTTACTTTGCTCCCCTTTTGTGTGTGCTCTTTTTCTCTCTCTGTCTTTCAATCCAACTAATATGCAGTCAGTAACAAATATTCTGGCGTGAATTCTACCCACAAAAGGCTCTTAGGAGCCACAGGAATTCTTTTATGTAAACTCATGCAATTGAAAATAATTCTGTCCATTCAACAAGCCACCCCTCTGCTCTTGCTAGTGTCTCAAGAAGGAGCAAAGGACCCTCCACACAGACTCTTGGTGTCAGGCACTCCACGGTTTTCCTGATAAGTGTGAATGATGACAATACCAACGCCCTGCAAGGATTTCATCCAGCTCCCTAGCAAATCAAATGCAGATCTAAAAATGGTGACAGAAGGAGAATTCCTCCTCAGGGAGGGGTGCTGAACGTCTGTCCTAGTGAGGTCCCTGGTCGCCATGCATTCATCACTCTGACTACAGGGTCATGTGCACTGAAAGCCCCTCCCAAAAAGCACACAGGGGAGTGGGTGCCTGGGAAGAGGACAGACACAGGAGGTGGAGGCCCACTTGCTAAAAAGGGGGCCATGTTTTGTCAATCAGGTTAGCAGCAATAATCTCAGAGCTCCGCTTTAGCATCCGTAAGGTGTTACAGACCTAGGTCTGTCTTATATGTGCTGGTTTAGCTTCAGCTAAATGACATAACTTCCAGAAGAATAAAGAGAAACACCATGAAGAGCCTCATTTAATGTGTATCTTGCATAAGTCTATTCAATCAATAGAATTATCTGCCCAAAATGTAAGTCAAACTAAGCAAAATTCTTTACCTTGGCCAAAAATAATGGGTTTCACATCAGTGACAGATATACTGCCTTGGCATGACTTCAAATGTTTTCAACAGCAAAGACCGTTTCAAGCCAAATCCAAGATACAAAGATTTAGACAAAATATAATGAACTATATAGAACAGATCACACATGAAAGTAAGTTGTAACTTAAATTTAATGCAGTAATTGTTAAAACATCTTACAATAAAGCCATGAACTACCTAAAAGCGTATCAGGTTAGACATGCTAAAAACAGCTATATAGGAACAGAAAGGAACTATGAAGTTAAACTTGACGTTGTCATTAACTTGTTATACCACAAATCTGCATAAATAGTATCAGAATATAACAGAAATAGACAAGGTTCAAATATAAAAAGATTTATAAAAACAGGTATGTCCTAATGGATTTAGGACCTTGGAGAAGTTCTTGAGTATACCCAAAAGATGAGAGAAAAACAGTTTATGCCACAATGTTAACACTAAAGAAAGAAGTTCTACCTACTGTCCATCATCAGGAAAATAGACATAAAATTTAAAAGATGAGATTCACAGAACAGAACAGTATATAGTGGTTGAAATGATTTATCTAGATTAACATAAGTAAATCTCAAAAACCCAATGCTCAGTATAAAGAGTAAGAAATATGTAGTCATATTGCTTACATACATTTAATACGTGCATATGTTCATGTGTGCACATATAATACACGTAAAATTTGCTCTTTGGTACACTTTTAGATTACAGAAAATTTGCAGAGTTCAGAGTTCCACTTATCCATTACACAGTTGCTCCCAGCCAGAGCATGTCACATAACTGAGGTACATTTATCTAAAGACTGTGTATACACTTTATTCAGATGTTACCAGCTATTCCAGCAACATCATTTTTCATTCCAGAATCTAATTTGTTTCATTTTTCAGAACACTTCTTCCAGTTTAAACACTTCAACTACACGCTTCATTGTTTAAATGTAAACGCTGAGGGCTGGGGAAATAGCTCAGCAGCACAGCACCTGCCTGGCAGGTGTGGTCATGAGTTCGATTCCCAGTACCAAAAAAAAGAACTTAAATGTAAATGCTGCGATATATAAATATTTGCTGAGAGCCAGGCATGGTGATGCATGCCTGTAATCCCAGCACTCAGGAGGCTGAGGCAGGAGGATCGTTACAAGTTTGAGACCAGCCTGGGCTACAAAATGAGTTCAAAGCCAGCCTGAACTGCAGAGCGAGACCCTGTCTCAAAAAGACAAAAAAAAAAAATTTGCTTTTCTGAGCGCTATTGTGTGTGTACCTTTATTTAGCAATGGCCACTTGCTAATTTTGTAAAAGGAAAACAAATACAATCCCAAAGGACAACACTGAGCAAGTGCACCTAGAGCGCGAAAGCCCAAAAGCACAGCCGCCCTCACGCCACATTCACACTCTAACCCAGTTTGTGAGAAGCATACCTCTTGTCTCTTCCTTTCCTCCTGGCTCACTGTCTGAGACAACCCATTTCTTTTCACCTAGAAAAAAACAGAGTTGCACCCATTTATTTGACAGTTTATTATGTGAGGCATAACTCTGCTCTTCAAAAATGAAGATGTTATCCAAAATGCTGAATTCAGTACATCTTAACATTCGATTATCAAAGCCTCCAAATAGTATTTAATCACAGCCATGAATTAACACAGTTAAACATTAAAGAAATGAAAAGTGCATACAACATGATCCTACCAGGTTGAGAGTTTTTGCTCTGGTGTTAATTCTAGCTATTTGGAGAATACATATCAAGTTAATCTGTCAAGTCATAAATGAAGAAACCCAGTATTAAAGAAAAATGAGCTGGTGACTCTAAGTTCACAGGCCAGGATCACACATAGAAGTCATCTTAACATTATTTTCTACAAAGGCACCAATGGAATGAAATACCACGGCTCTTTAGAAAAATCCAATGGAACAAAGAAAAAACTCTTCCCTCATCTCCTGGCCAAACAGCAGCAATCTATTCGCTTACTTAACTCCACAAATAAGGATGTTAATTTAACGTTCTTTTGGTTTGCTTGTTTATTTGTTTGTTTTTCAGACAGGGTCTCACGATGCAATTCAGGCTGACCTTGAACTCACTATGTAGCCCAGGCTCGAACTCATGGCAATCCTCTCGCCTCAGCCTCTCAAGTCCTGGGATTATAACTGGGCACCAGCATGCCCAGACTAGTGTTCTTTTGAGAAGCAACAGTACCTACAAGACTTGTCAACACCAGCAGTGTTCTTGGAATAATGTAGTAGTGTTATTTGCTGAAGGTCTGAAATACCTATCTCACTTGTCAGACACTTTTCTATGACTGCTCCACTTCCCATACCAATCCAGTTTCTAAAGTGAAGAGCAGAGTCTGACCCATGAACTCCAAGAAGGCAGGGGCTGGTGCCCCTTCCACTACACCTGGCACCGAGGCTGACATACGACACTCATGTTTTTCAAAGATTAAATTAACAAAAGCTGATATACAAAATACCAACCAATAAACCCCGCACTTCATAGAAAGAGCAGCAAGAAAGGAGAGTGCCCTCCTCTCATGTTGAAAATCAGCAGCAATAAAATATAGCAAGTAGCAATAAATAAACTTCTTGCTATCCTTCTTCCTAAAAAAATTTCACACATTTCCCTAGACCCATTTTTAAGCTGACAAGTAAAATTTTATCATAAATTACAAATATATATTTTTTCTGATAATTTTAAATGTAGGCACATAAAATGTTACTATACTCTTCCAAATGTGTCCCGTGTAATATAGAAATTGTTATGATTTGATATCCACCATCATCCATTAAAAGTAAATAAGTTTTCCTCTGTAGTTGGAGATTTTATATTCTTCTCTCTCACTGATATTACATCCCTGTGTCAATCTTTTTCTCCACATTTCCTAATATACGAAAATCCCGTGAATTTTGGTCTCTTACCATTTTACCATGCTTCTAAAATTTCCTGTGACCACTGATCTCTGAGTATAAAAGAGATTCTCTTGGATTGTACAGTCACCACAAATATTAAAAACATGACCAAAACTACACACTTACAATGTTAATTCATTCAGTATTAAAAGCAAAATCTGGTTAAGAATGCCCTCAGCTACAGTAGTTAAACAGCTCAGGGGCAAAGCTGTGGATAGTGAAATTATTAACGGGTTGGGGTCTCAGAAGAGTTAAAGAATTGAGCAGGGATATGGACTCTCCAAACCAGAAAATGGTAGAATGGTAAGCAACAACAACTTAGCCTCTATGAGATTTGGAATTCAAAGCATCGAAAAATAACAACTTGGGGAAGAAAAAACGATAGAAATATACTCCCAGGAACCAGGAAGAACTGAATAGAAAACTTAAAACCTACAGAGAAATGGAGATGACAAAACACAACACAGAGGAGGAAAGGGACAATCTGTACTTTCTCCTAGCTCCTGGCTCATTGCTCATGGCAAAGGGAGACCAAATCTACACAGACAAAGTGAAAGCAGAGGACTTCGGAGGGCTTCAGGAAACATGATGGCAGAATGAACCAGTAGGTTCTGTGATCTGCACGGACAGTGTGGGATTCTGCTCCCACATGAGTCCTTTGACAGGCAACAGCCAGCGAGTGATTCCAGTCCACGCACCCACCATATCCCTGAAAAGAGTGCTCCGTAGGATGCCATTCAGAGGGAAGGGTTGATCATTTGAAACTGGGACTCAGAGAAACTGCAGAGTGGCTTCACTTCAGGGCTCCCAGTGTTACATTCACACAGTGACGGGGTGAGAGACACTCACAACAGACAGCCACAGCCAGGCAGGGTACTGCAAAGAGAGCCCCTGAGCAGTTTCGGCTAAAGGACACAGGCCCCATCCTCATAGCCAGAAGCTGGGCTCAGCCTGTGTTGCTCTGGATTTGAAAGTCATAGCATTGGTGCACTTGCCCTAATGCTACTGCCTGCTGGTGCCTGCATCCAGCAAGGATGTGGGGTCTGACTGTCTTGTTTATGTACCAGCATTAGTAGAGACATGTCTTGACTTGGACTGTCACAAAACTGTAGATCCCAGAAGAAAATCACATATTCAACATCACAGGGAAATTTCTTCCCTCCCCATTCTTCTTTGTGTGTGTGTGTGTGTGTCTGCATTACTTTGGATGGGCTGTTTTGCTTTATTTCTTTTTTCTTCTTTCTTTCACTAGTTCAGTAAAGTTTTGAAATTTTCCTTTGTCCTTTTCCCTTGCTTCTTATCTCTTTCTCTTATTTCTTTTTTATTTTTTTCTCTTCTCCATTTTAATTCTGCTCTTTAATTTTTTCTCTTTATTTTTACTTCCCATATAACATCTTTTTTTCTCCCACTTTTTCTTTTATCTTCTATTTCTTGTCAGTTTTGCTCTTACCTTTACATAATTCTATAAACGTCTTTCTACTTATCAATAGGCCCCTTTGAACCACTTCTCTCACCTCCTTCTCCTATCACATAATTTAAGGTTTCAAATTTTGTCTCTTGCATTCCCTCTCCCAACCCCCATATCTTTAATAATATAACAATGAAGCTTTTTTAAACTTCAGGTAGTAAGTTAACACTATAAAATTACTGTTGAATTATTTTCTACCATTAGTGAAGATACAACTGCGGTATTCAGTACATTATTAGCTGTAAGTCAATACCTCCATTGTCTTAATGTTTATACCACAATTGTGGATTTCTTCTTTAGGGTTAAGGCTGGTACATAATTGGTTCTTATGGTATGTTAATATCTGATTTGTCTTGAATGATACTACTGCAACTGATTTCCTTGATATTAACAGTATATTAATTATAACAATATATTAATTATGTTTGTATAATTATTGCTATTAAAGGGACTTTATCTGTAATCCAACACTTAGATTATCTTCATGACATTAACAGTACCAGAGTACATACCCAGAAAACTCAATGTTGGGCCTATTACACTGTATCCTCCCCTCCCAAACTGACCAAGGTGTTGAGGTCTTAGGGCTGAGGCCAAGTATTAAAGTCAGCCACACTCATAGTATATCACCAAAAAGCAACCAACTAAAGAGATCTCTATACTATCAACAAAGTCATTACACTGTAAGCGTCCACAAACCTCAGCAGAAAATAAAACAATAGAAACATGAGAAACCCAGGCAAAATCTGGGTGTGGTGGCACATGACTATAATTCCAGCACTCAGGAGGCTGAGGCAGGAGGATCCCCCAAAGTTGGAGAGTTCAAGGCCAGCCTGTACTACAGAGTGAGACCCTGTTTCATAAAAACAAAACAAAACACCATGGCAACAAAATGCCTCCCCAAACTCCCAAGCCTCTTATAGCTAATCCAGGGCTGGCTAAGAGGGAGAATAGATAATATTTATCACACACTCAAATTACTTGACGGGATAACAGAGTTAGAAAATAGATCAAAGAGATATTCAGTAGGATCACAGAAGATATAACTAAACAGATAATGAATGAAGCAATTAAAAAGATCCAAGAGCTTTTAGAAGACATTACTAAAAAGCTAGATGAGCTAAACAAAATGATAAAAACATGAACGATCAGTTCAGCAAATACAGTCCATGAAAATGTTTCAATCAGAAATCCAGGAGATTCCAAATTATACTGAAAGTATGGGCAGCAGAAGTGACCAATGCGAGGACAGAATTTCAGAACTAGAAGACAGTGACGCCATTAAAGGCCAACTTCTCAAGACACCTTAAAAGCTATAAGTGAACATGAAAATGGATCCAGTGGCTGCTGCTTCATGCAAAGAACATGAATCTATGAGTAACTGGAAGAAAGAAAAAATTAGAAGACAAATGTCTTTAGAAAATCTGCTGACAGAAATAATGGCAAAAAACTTTGCAAACATAGGGAAAGAAATGAACACCTGACAGATAAATAAGGCATACCGATCCCCAAATGGTCAGGACCAAGAGACCCTCTCTACATCACATTATACTCAAAGTACCAGAAAGTTATCATTGGAGCAAAATCTTAAAAGCTGTTAAAAGAAAGGTAACAAATTATATATAAAGGTAAATTCATTAGAATTAGAGCAGACTTTACAACACAAACCTTAAAGACTGGGAGAGCTTGGAGCAAAGTATTTCAGGCTCTAAAAGATAACAGTTTTTAATCCCAGCTTATATATCCTGCAAAATTTTCCTTCAAAATTAATGAAGAAATAGGGTATTTCCATGACAAGGAGCAACTCAAGAAATTCATGACCACAAAAGCAGCACTACATAAATTTCTCAGGGATTTCCTAGAAAAAAAACAATGAAGCCAACAATTCCATTAAGTCAAAAAGAATAAACACATCTGTCAGGATGACCAGCTAAGCAGAATAAAATACAAAAAAATCTACAACAGAAAAACAATGCAATGACAGGAATAATTCCCAATCCAGTAATAATTCCCAATTAGAATAGTCTCCATTCACCAATCAAAATACAGACTGGCAGAATGAATCAAGAAACAAAACCCAATCATATATAGTACTATATACAAGGA